TATATTTGCATGTCTCTGTCCTCGTGTGCATTTTTTCCCACATTTAGAATCAACATCACGCGTTTAGAGTATGTGGCTGCTCTACATTCCCACGTGATGAGCCAATTCGTTGAGCTATCATTTGTCGCCAGGTCGCTTCTGAAAAAGACGGAGGAAGAGCAAAAACCACACGAACTCTCTCCAGAGGGCCCTCTCTCTCTCTCATCCCCGGCGGGCAAGCCTCGACATTGGCATCGAGCTCCTGGACCAGACTGCTGCCATCATCGCACGCAAGGAGCCAAAGTCGAACGCTAGTAGGAGTCCGTTGTACTTTAATCCGCGCGAGTCTCAAAACCGAGCGTTACATTTCTGCTGAAGGAGGCCTTCCAACAAAACTATTCAAACGGGACGGTGGAAAACAAAACCGATGCTGTCCACGGAATCGCGGCGCTTGAAGCTTGGGGGCGCGTGCGAGAATCTCCGGACGCGAGTGAGAACCACCCCCCACGTCCAGCGCCACTTGGAGAGCGACACGTGGCACCACACACGCAGGGAGGCAATGGGACGGGGTCCATCGAGGAGCGTGGATCAGGTGCTGATCCACGCTCCTCGATGGAAGTTATTACGCTGACATATATAAACTTATTTAGGGTGATGCCACACAAAACGAGGCAGACAAAACAAACGAGACGGAACAATTCAAACGAGAGAGACAAGACAAACGAGACAATACAAACGAGAGAGAACAATACAAACCAGGCAGACAATGCAAACGCGAGAAAACAATACAAACGAGAGAGACAACACAAACGAGAGAGACAACACAAACGAGAGAGAACAATACAAACGAGAGGGACAATACAAACCAGGCAGACAATGCAAACGAGACTGGAGACGAATCGTGAGCGGGTCACGCGTTGCGTACGAGGCCGTCCGGAGATCGAGAAGCGGCCCCAACTCCCATCGCCGCCTCTGCCGCCACCACCACCAACACCACCCTGGGCAAACAATCGACGTGACCCATGGCGTTAAACAATTGACGCGACTCATCGCGGCCACAGTGCAAACACACAGATACACAAAGACAGACACACAGACACACACACAGGGCGTCACCTTCCACGGCAAACACGATCGCGCACGACCCTGGGAGCCTTTGTTTGATCAACTTTACAATCGGCCGTGAACCGCATCGCCAGTGCTCACTAAACGGTAGCAATCGCGATTCAGGCTTGTATCGAACCCGCTCATCCAGGGTGGGCAATCTCGCTTGCTCACGCTGCTGACTTTCCAGACCAACAATTATTGAGCAGCAGCAGCAGCGTTAGTTCGAAAGAGGTGAAACGACGCTGATGAGATCCTGACGGCCCAAACCGGCCCCGACTTGCCTTAAACAAGTGGTGGTTTCTTAACCTATACTGCAGCTTTGCACCCAGTGTGAGATTATCCTAGGAGCAAAAGTAGCTGCATATTATTCTAGATTTGAAGTTTACGTGACTGCAATGATCCATACCCTTTGGTTCTTTCGGTAAAGTTACGTAGGTAAAAAATAAAATAAAGTTAAACAAATCACGACGTTTCAGAAGCAACACAAGCCTCAATCATCAGGTGGGCTAGTCACAGCAAGAAGTAATTTGCTGTGACTATCCCACAAATCAGATTTGAAACACGGCAGAACGAATTCTTCGGCCGTGGCTGATCATTGTCTCAACAGAGCAGGTTCTCATGACATTGTTTTCTCCGATACCAAAGTACTATGCAAATCTTCCGGTTATTACCAAAGATTTGTCCATGAAGCCATCCAGATATACAAACATAGACACAACTTCAACCGAGAAGATGGTTTTAAATTAAGCAACCACTGGAAAGATGTCATAAACCAAGTCAAAACTTCAGCTACCTTATAAGCGCACAGCCTTTTTTTAAAAACCATTTTTCATTGCCCCCGTGCAGTGAACCACCGCTTCCCCCGAACCCTCAACATAACAAAAGACGGATTAACTTCGCCTCGTCGTCACTCCCTGCTTGGCTCCTCCCCCCACCTTAACCTGTATATAAGCTGGAGGGTCTCAGAGCCCCCCACTTGATGCAGCTATCTTGCTGTGACTGTTCCACCTGAAGAAGGAAGCTCGTGTTGCCTCCGAAACGTCGTGATTTGATGTAGTTGTTTTCTTTTATTTTGATTTTGTTTTATCTACATGACTTTACCGAAAAAAAACAAAGAGTACTATCCCACCTGATGACGGAGGCTTGTGTTGCTTCCGAAACGTCGTGATTTGATTAACTTTCTTTTATTTTTTACCTACGTGACTTTAGCGAAAGAACCAAAGAGTATAGCTGCATATGCTACGGGCCCCGTATTTAAAGGGCCCCGCGCTAAATGCTTCCAAGCTATCAATTCCTGTTCAGTGATGGTGCACTTGCTCTCTTACTGTAGTGCCATACCGCGTTAAACTTTTATGATCGATTGGGTGTTCAAGGTTAGCGATTTGTCGTAATGTCTGGCTGTATAGCAAATGAAAAAATTACAATTAATTTACTATGCAAATAAAAATGTGTGTTTAAATATTTACGTGTTTTGTTATATTTAGGGCCCCTTTACAACATGTTCCAGGCTCCGCACGAGCTTCATCCGGCACTGCTTGCACCCCTGTGGTTCTCGATATGAAATCGTTTTTGTTAATAAATGCATAGGGGGTTTGATGAAACAAAGTAAGTTGTTCTTACGTGCCCGTGCCAAATTTGTCTTTTCGATGATTGACCTTCTAAAAAAAATCTGGCCACGTCTCGCACCCCCAGGGAGTGGCGTGCACCCCAGGTGAAGAAGAACCACGGGCCTAGCACATTCCCAAAGTCAGGAACCGCTCGCCGACTCCAGCGGAACACGTTCGTGAGGAAGAGGCCGGAGTAGCCACACTTGCCCCCACCACGCGACCGCTTAAACAAAACGCTGGTTTGGACACCGATGGTCTGACTGCCTAAAAGCAATCTTACAGTAAAATCTTGATTTAAAGCAGTCGTGACCGCAGGAATTCATATTCTTGGGTCTTTCGGTAAAGTCACGTAGATAGGTTCAAAGAAAATAACAAAAAACTAATTATTTTCTTTGAACCTACCTACGTGACTTTACCGAAAGACCCAAAGAATACAATCTTACAGTATTGATTTATTCAACGTCGCGACCGACCGGAGCGCCGCTTACAGAGGCGCTTAAAATACTGCGCGAGGGCCTCTCGACAAGTACGCAACGCCACGTCTCCGGTGACCTCACTTCTTCCTCCTGAGATTCGCGAGATCTCGAAGCGTCAACGCGCGGCCTCGTGCGATGCTGGCAACGCGTCGCCGTGACCACATTGTCTCGTTCCCTCGCGACGGTCCACCCCCCCCTCCCGCTGTTATATCTACCATGGGACCCTTTTCTGTGTCAGTATCAAAGTATAAAAAAAATCAGATCAGGTTTTACCCAATCGGGCAATAAAAGATGTTCAGACACCGAATAAGACGCGTTTTTGTTGTTGCGATGAGTCGAGTCTGCATTAACCACACGTGCTTTTGGCAAAACATGCAAAGGTGCATATCTCATCAGAGCATATATCTACGGCGATCTAACCCAAAACACCTCGATGGTGGATGCTCTGATATGGATTCATTGTCTCTGGTGTAGGCCAATCAGTTTTAAAGACAATGCATATATTATCAGATGTGTGTTTGCATGTTCACCACAAGTACTGCATGTGGTTAATGCGGACTTTATTCCTTGCAAAAAGGTTTCTATTTGGTGTCTGAACATCTTAACACCTGATTGTATTGCCAGAAAGGGGTAAAAAAAACTATTCTTATTTTCCATGTCTCCACCGTGTCCGTGGGTTGTACCACTGCGTTAACCGGTTGTGCCGCTGCGCGTTACAATTCGTGTCGTTGGTGGCACACTGTCCGACGATTCGCTCAACGCACGCTGGCGGCAGCTTGATCGGGACGCAGGAAGCTGCGGGACATCCCGAGCGCGTGCAGCGGAACATCGGGCATCGTGCCGAGCGACGCGTGGCGGCACAAACCCCCCGAAAACAACATCGGAGGGGGGCAACGCGCGCGCGGCACGACCGCGGAACTCTCCGCGTGTGCCGCGACATGTGACTCGAGGTCCCACGTGGCCAGGGTTGCGACTCGACTACGCTGGCCGTACTTGCTGTAGGACCGCCTGCGGCTTATAAATACTTGGGAGACAATTAACGCAGAGTTAAGTCTTTTTTCGAGCAGGAGGCTCACGGAGCCGAGATTGTTTTTTTAGGGCCTCGATAACTAATTGTTTGGACGACGGTAAAGAAAGCTCGCAGTCACGCGCTCGTCAGTACCACCCTAAAGAGGAACACACGCAATGGGCCGATGCTTTAGGCAATGGTCTTTCTTGCCGATGCCTTCTCTGTTGTGAAGGAGCGCCACTGCCCAACGTGTCGCCAAATTACCGTACCGCAAGACGCTCCAAAAGTAAGCTGCACCCCAGACTTGTGCTCAGTATCGCTAGTTACACTGACCTAGTCGCACACACACATATATACACATTGACGACTACGTTTGCCCGTTTAGCCTCAACAGATTTTTGGGCAAGTGCTGTTAGTGAGCACCTACGAAGGCCGGAAAGGTACACGACGGGGGGTGGGGGGTTGCCAGCACCACGCCCGACCAGCTTTGGCTCCCTAGTGGCGATGTTTACACAGCTTCATGTACTCATTCGAGGCCGAGTCGACGTAGAGGAGACCCAGGACCGGTTCAGACAATCATCACTGGTGTTGGTGACCGTGAGCGGGAATGGAACTCGGAACGCTGGGTTCCCAGTGCTCCCCACACACACACACAAAGATCCCCCGTATATCCGTAACAGACTTTTGGGGCAAGTGCTGTTAGCGAGCACCGATAAAGGCCGGAACGGCACGCGCACACACAGGTGTCTACCGGATTCCAAGCAACACCCACAATTTTTGCTCTTTAAACACAGATGGCAAAAAGTACACCTTGTACCCAGCAGAGTAATACATGTAATTATGTTCTAGCATACAGCAGCAATGTCCAGGTGCTGAAGGAACAATGTCGAGGGTCTGACGGCATGAAACGATTCCCCGAGGGCATTGACACTTGTGCACCAATGGCAACGCAGCAGCAGCAGCAGCAGCGACGTCACAACGTTGGTAATGCGGCCGCCACGTGCTCACGTTGCACCCTGGGGTGGCAAAGAGCGCCGCTTCCGAGACAAGCTCGCACCGAATCTCGCACAGCCACCCAGCTGGCCTCTGCTCCCACAGTACCGTGGCTCGCTCACATTCGGCTTGTACCGCATTAGCACAGGGCAAAGACTTGGCAAAGGGACTTTGTAAGACTCGACGAATTTAATGTCGCCTCCGACGATCGCTGGCATTTTGAAATCGATGTGTTGTTTTAAAACCGAGACTTATGCAAATAAATATGCCCCGCCGTTCACATTCAGTACAGCAGGGAGGGAGGGGGGAGGCGGGAGCGAGTTTCCAAGAGGCCCGTGGCCACGCGAGGCCCACCACCACCACTGCGAAGGGGCCACAAATAAACCCTTGTCCCATCACTGTAGCAAGCACCCGCGCGGCACTAATCGGGCACTTGGAGGGGAATATATTTTCCTTGGCATCAACACTGTTTTCATTTGAGAGCGCACTCGTCACTTCCACCCGTCACTTCCGTCAGTGCGAGGGACTCCTGAGCCTCCCGATTCTACGGTTCGCTCTGTAAAACCGCGACACGTCCGTGACCGTGCAATTCAGTGGGTCTCTGGAAGTCGTCGGGTTTTTGCACGAGTCTATGGGCCTATGCGTACACCCATGCTTGTGATTTAAAGGTTTTCTTAAAGTCTATGGGTCACTGTGTAATTTGCAAGCATCTGCATGTAAGTCTATGGGTCTCCGTGTGAGTCTATGGGCCACCGTGTAAAGCACCACGCATCTCTGCACGTCGATGGAGCTCTTAAATCGCCTGTGTGTTGGCGTGCCCCCTGGAAGCAAGCGCATCCCCTTCCTCTGCTGCACAGAATGCGGAGATACTTGCCGACTCGAACGCGATTATAGAAATCCACATCGTCATTACAATTACCCTGTGCAACACGAGATACGCATCCGCGGGGCAAGCTACAGTGACCGAAACTGACTTCTCTTAAGCTCAACAGCCGTAACGTGTAAAAAACACACAACTCAGGACTCACAACATCGCGCGCCTTCCCATATCCAACAACGCCACCAATATTCCCTCCACCACTAAAAATGCAATTTATTTACATACACACAGTAACCGTCATGTAAAGCCAACGTGTCATTGGCAAAAGGTGCAGATGGCACACAGTAGTCGTGAAATAACGCCGCCGTGTGCGTGCGAGTACAAGGGAGTGTAAGTGTTCGTGTCCGATGCCAAACTAAGCGAGTCCTGTAGCCGTCTTCACTGGCACATCCGAGCCGAGCCGGCGGGCGCAGCCCCTCGCGGTCCACCCTGCTCTACGAGCTGGCCTAACGAGACATCCGAATCCGACTCGGGGCCAAGCAGGGGCAGGGATAATGGAGCGTCGTCGGTTGCGCGCGATCTCAGTCCGTAACACTGCGTGGACACAGCTTCACCGCGTCATCCGCACGCGTCACCCTACTAGTTCGTTGTGCATTCTGTCAGCGGCACGGCTCGGCTCCTGCAGTGGAAAAACACGGGCGGATTCACAAATCGCTCCGCGCCGGCCCCGGCACGGCCCGGATATGGCAGTGGGAAGGAAAAAAAAAATGTAATGTACTTGTGGATACTTGTGATTCTGATGCTCGTCTCAACCTCCACGCGCACCTCGTCACAAAGACGTGGACCTTCATCGACGGATCACCGTCATCTCCGTCAGGGGTCGGCGAAACCGCCCCCACGCTCCTTTTCCGCCGCGTCGTCTTGAGCGAGACGCGGTCGGCACTCGGAGGCTTCATAAAAAGGCATCGTTGTGGTTATAAATAAGAGTTAACACCGCTTCGCGGGAGACCGACGGTGGTCGACACGCTGGCCACCCACCAAAGGAATGTGGACGTTCCACCGACAGCTTTGGGTTCGCCATCCGAGCAGCGGCCGCACAGAATCCACTGGCAGGTTTGAGACGGCTCAATCCGCACGAGAGCGCATCCCGTGCGACGCGCCAGAGCGTCGCCGGGCTGCGCGTGCCAAAGACAGCCGAAAATACAGAGGCGGTGAAACTGTTTAAACGTTCTCCCACTGCTACATTTGCTGATACAGGCCGGAGCGTCCGTTTAGAGCTGGGATGACTATTCGACAAAGACGACTAATCGGCTACTTTTCCCAGTCAATCACCTGGGCCGTCTTTAAAAACGGCGACCGCCGCTGAATTCTGCCCCGTGAAGGCAGGAAACCCCCACAAAGCCACGCCCAGCGTGACGCGACTGACGATATTGATGGCAACGCCAATGACGTCACCAAGTCCCCGTGCATCACCTCGCGACCAGCGGCGCACACGGAGAGCAGAGGCGAGGACTTTAATTTCTTCCAACTACTTTCACGCTATTCGGGCGAGAGAACTGACGATCGGTCGAGCAATCGATAACTCAAACGGACAGTCCAACACTACGCGAGGTTGCCACCTGTACTGGGTTTCCCAGGATGGTCTTGAATTCGGTGGGAAACCCGTGAGTCTTCCCGTTACATTACAAGTCCCGTCCCGGTCTTTTGTCAGTTGCGTAATAATGTAAAAAAACAAACAGTCACGTTCGTAATACAACGCGTTTACGAGCAGCTCTCTCCTCTTCCGACACCGAGATTTTCCCCTTCCCTCGCTATGTCCTGAAGTGCCGTCCGCCGCTAGTCCTCCGCGCTTTCTCCGTGCGTTTGTCTCGTGGCACGCGGCTCGTCGCGCGAGCACCGCACGCGCTAGAAATCGGAAGAATCGTTTTTGTTGTTGTTGTCGTCGAAGTTTGCTGCGTCCTGTTTGTCCGTCGGTTGCTGAAGTGGGCGCCGGCTGGGGGGGGGGGGGGGGGTGGGGGGGTTGCTGGGGGGTTGCTGGGGGGGGGGTGGGGCGCCGGTCCTGGGGGGCGCTAGTCAGGGTGCCCGATGTCCACATAGATCTCGGTGTAGAGCTTGTACATGGAGACGGAGATGAGCTGGTACTTGAGGCTATTGAGGCCGTCGTGGTCCATGTCCACACGCGTCCGGGCGTAGAGGTCGTAGCTGTGCAGAGACGTGGGGGCAAGGATGAGGAGGACGGGAAAGGAAGGGAGGCGACATGGGTAAAACATCTAAGGGTTAAGCTGCGTTTAACGCACCAAACCGGGTGGTTGCAAGCGACACGTCGGGTATCCGACCGCGAAATGCGGCTGTGAGAGTTGTTCAGCTCCCCGGCAAACGGGCCAAAACAATCGATCATCGTGTCCCAATACTTGTGTGCATGCGGAAAATCTACTTATTTGGCTAAATCGTTTGGTGAACTAACGCAAACAAATCTACTATAAATGAAAAGATTTCTTGTTTTTTTGGATAAATACAAAGTAAAGAAACGAGCAATCACGTCAGGAAACTGACCTTGAGAAAATATTTACATTTACACAAAAGAGAAAGCGTTGTGTGCACTGGGGAGAACAGGTGAGGTTCGGTAACGTGAGATGATAAATCAGCTTGCCACGCATTATTACTCAATGCATTTCAGGAGTGGAGTACAGCAAACCTATGATTAATTGGGGTTGCTGTGTGCTTGTACAAAACAAACAAGAAATTGAGGATGTACTTTACGGTATTATAGCGCGGGTCCAATGGACACACAGCGCACAGCCAGCCACAGAAACGGAAGGCGCTGGGTCCCTCACTCGTCGAGGGCCAGCGACCTCGTGCCCACGTGAACACAAGCAATACAAACCAGATGACACATTCTCTACACACCACCACCCGCATTCTGATGCAGCTCACCGATCACGTCATCTCCACGGCCGCAGGGACTCGCTCTATCCAGTTAGCACTGGTTTTATCAGCGAGTCTTGGAAACAATTTGATCAGTGTGGCCGGTTTGTTTCGGGCGAGTCCCAAATAGCAACACAATCTTTACTTGATAAAGCTTTGTTCACACTGGATAATCGTGATCCCACACTACGCACACACAGAGAGACAACCCTCTGAGCAACGTGGCCAGTTGTCAACATTGCGAGTCCTTCAAAGCACCACAACTGTGGACTCAAGTTTCGTTCGTATTGCCACAAGAGTTACGGTGACCTCACGATACATAGAGAGAGACACACGGACAGAGCTGATGCACTTGCGCTTTCACCGTCAGCCAGAAAGCTACAACGACATTTGGCAAAAACGGCCGATGCAATTATCGTCGGGCCTATTACGTTATATACGACGTATCGTAGCATCATCGTATCTCGTGGCAATCCCGGGGATTACATTTAATTGAAAGTCCACCGGCTGTCTCGGCGGAGCCCGGGGGAATGGGGGGACTGGGGGGATGGGGGTCGGGGGGACAGGGAGGCGGGGGCAGGCGGGGGGGCAGGGGGGACGAGAAACGTACTTCTTGGTGTTAACTTCGTTGCCCTTGTCTCGATCGTGCCGGATCATCTTGGTGCGCGCAATTTGCGGTGGCGGCCTCTCCACCGTCAGGCCCTTGTATACCACCCTGGAGGATACGCACGGCCGCAGCACAAACGTTGGCATTCTCGCGCGCCTCGTCCTTCTTAGACGAACATCGCCACGCCACGTTTCATCCTGGGTTGCGCGGTCGGCCTCGTGCCGCGAGAGGGCGAGCGGCGTCCAATTCAATCTCCCGCAGGCGCGATTTACCGTCGAGCGGGCCGACGCCATCGACTCGCCAAGTATCGGAGGACGACCCGCTGAAGTGAATATCTCAGAACTACTTCCAAAAACCCTTCAGGTGACGTCTGCTCTGCTCAGCAAGGGGCAGGACTCTCCCACGCGTGCTACCACACGAGAGCGCCGTTCCCCCCCTCTCGACAGTCGAACAACGATTTTTGACTTTGATAATCGAGATGGAATTTTAGCCAAATGAAGTGCAGAACCAAAACTGAGTGCGATGGGTTATTCTTCGTGCAGTCACTGGTGCCTGCGTCTACTGCAAGCCCGAGCCATCCGGCCACCTGTCACAGGTCTCCACGTATGGATGTGGAGGCAGAGGGGGCAGATCGGAATCTCGCTCGGCAATGCGGGTGCGGATCCCACTGGCTCAGGGCTGTGTGATCATCGCGGATGAGGGGGGACTGCCCCATTCCAGTTTGGACAGGACGACAGATTGACCCTTTTTATTATGTTTTCCCAACATCGTAAAATCTCAAGGGCGTTCAAAGAGATGTACGACTCCACGAGGCTTCGATGGATAAAAGAAACGCGTGTATGTAAGGCTGATTTGTCAAGCCACTGTTGAATGAGGGCCTCCCCGCGCGGGTCGTTGGTTCTATTTGACCATGCCTCACTGCGCTGATAATGACGATAACGACGACGCATTAGACGGGTAGACTTTAGTCCGAGTTGTCATATGGGCGGCAATGACAGGCAACGATTAGCTGCATTTTAAATCGTAAATGAATCATGAAACGCACAAGACGTTTACGTGTCTATCCTCCACCGTGATGCGCAACTGCCCACGTGTGCAGACAGCACGGGCCTCTCCCTTGTGCGTGCGACGTGGGCCCTCCCCTTGTGCGTGTGTCATGGGCCTCCCCCTTGTGCGTGTGTCATGGGTCTCCCCCCCGTGTGCGCCGTGGGTCTCCCCGCCGTGCGAAGTGGGTCCTCGCTCACCGCTTGTAGAGGTCGTCGTCCTCCGTGCCCCAGCCCCAGTAGTTGTTGGAAAAGCCGTTGATGGCCTCAAAGTGCTTGATGCGCATGGAGACCACGCCGCCAAAGTACGTTTCGTACGGCAAGCTGCGGCACAACAGCAACATCGGCAGCGGTAGGTTTTTTTTTTCCTTTCATGGTTGCAGAGCACAGGCCTGCTTGCCCAATGCACCGTGCGGCCAGCAACAAATGGCACTCGTGAAGGTCGCAGTGTAGTAGATAAGCATTGACTCTCGATTTAAAGCTTTCGTGACTGCAGGGATTCATATTCTTGGTTCTTTGGGTAAAGTCACGTAGAAGGAAAATAATAAAAATAAAACTATAAAATTCTCACGACGTTTCGATTGCAACACAAGCAATCATCATTAACTCGTTTATGTAAATGGAGTAAGGTTATTGTAAGAACTTTAGAAGAGCGATAATAGCGAGACTTGCAATGTGGCGAATGAGTGAATAGGCAAGCGAGAGAGTGAGAGAGTGAGTGGGTGATTGGTTGAGCAAGTGAGTCAGTGTGTTGTTGCGGCCCCTGGTTGAACAGAGTGTGGGGGGGGGGTGGGGCGGGGATAGAGGGGCCCCTCACTGGAAGTTGAACTTGTCCATGGCGCTGGCGATGTGGCGCGGCTGCTCGCCGCAAGCGTAGGTGTTGCGGTCGTCCATGGGGATGATGTCGATGTCGCTGAACACGACGCAGTCCCACGGGTAGATCGCGAGCGCCTCCCGCGTGCCCACGTTGAGCAGCTTGGCGCGGTTGAAGGTGGCGTCCCCTGCCTGACGGCAACGATGGGCAACGGCGGCGACCAGCGGACAGCGTCAAAGACAGCGAAGTGCAGGTTCAATATAAAGAATGCAATCGATTCCAGCCGTTGCTAACCCATCGACGGATCGAGGCCTCCCCACGCCGTGTCGCTCACGGGGATTCGAGCGCGGGTTGGCGAGACGTGGGCAGGGGCCGGTTTGATATCAAGCGCCGCTGACGTTAGCCGTGACCCGAGAGAAAAAAGACTCGAGCTACCAGGTTCGTAGCACAGCAGCGCACAAACCGCTACACGCTACCGCTCACGTACAAACAAAAACAAATATCCCCCGTACAGCCTTAACAGACTGTTGGGGCAAGTGCTGTTAGCGAGCACCTACGAAGGCCGGCACGGCACGCACACACACACACGAGTGCGGCGAATGTGAGAAGACGCCACCCTCCACCACCACCGTCACCGTCGCTCACCTGGTGCACGATGAACACCCCGAAGTCCATCTGCTGGCGCCGCAGGATGGGGTGCATGTAGTAGAGCCAGTAGAGCAGGTGCTCCGAGCGCTTGCGGTACGGAATGATGATGGCGACGCGCTGGCGGGGGATGCAATCCTTGGGATGGTACCGGCCCCCGAGTGTCACCTCCTCGTTCTGCTCCACCACCAACTCCATCGACACTGTGTCGGTGAACTCGATGCGCAGAGGCCCCCACTGCTCGAGCAACGGACGATGGGGGGGGGGGGGGGGGGGGGGGGGGGGGGGGGGCGGCGGGAAATCATCATTACGCGTCGGCGCTGCCGTCGTTGAAGCACCGCAAATTTATAGGACGGATTCAGCGTTCATTTTTTAGGCTCGGCAACGTAACGATCTGGGCAAAATGTTTCTGTCGTGTAACCCTCGACCACCCGACAGCCCGTTAAAAATTAAACCGGCACGCGCGCGAGCGTCGAACGCGCCAATTGTTATCGGTTCAACTGTGAATGCGACGCCAAAGGCGATCTATTGGAAATAATTAAATTCTATCTCCATTCATGATAAACAAATCGGTTTAGCCATTTGAATTGGTCACTGTAAGGTGCTCATTGACCGATCGTCGTTCCGGGGGACGATCCCGTTTGGCTGCGCGGGGTAACGACGCCCGACAGACGCCCCCCCCCCCCCCCCCCCCCCCCCCGTTCGACGGCGAGCACGGGAGTGGCTGGCGAATTCAACTGGGGTTTTTGAAGGGTTAACGGCCGAGAGAAGCTTCAGCAAGAGAGGAGTCTTGGCGATAATACAAGCGAGGACGCACGAGGAGAGCCCGAGGTCCGGCGAAGACCTCGCTAGGTGAAGGCTGGCGACTGCGTGCTGTGAACAAACCGGACTCTCAGCAACCACAGACAAGCGTGCGTGCGTGCGTGCGCTGGACTGCTCGACTTGCACGCGCACGAGATGCCGCCAGCGGACACCGTCAACGTAACGAGCACCGCGGTGGCGTTCGTGCGGGCGGCGCTCACCCAGCTCCTTTGACGTCTCCGGGCACTCCTGGCGTTCTTCCGGAGCTTTGGTCATGACGACCTTCGTGACGTTTGTCTCTGCGTGCCGATCCTCTGCCTTTTGCAACATGGAGTTGTTGTCCCAAAATTTCTTCAAATCCTCCTGTGTCTGCTCCGAGTTGTCTGTTCAGACAGGCAAAGGCAAAGATTACCACCCCCATACTTAACACCGCCGGGGAAAAAGTGTTGCTAGCGAGCACCTTATGATGAAGTCCAACATGGCCTGCACATGTGGGGGTGGTGTGGCTAGCCGGTCTGATATTCTGATGTTAGCCACGGTCAAGGAAAAGAGCTCTGGTCGCCGGGTTTGTAGTGCAGCACAACGACCACTACGCCACCGCCCCCCCATGTAATTATGTGCACACACAGGCAAATGCATCTGCTAACATGACTCCCTGCACAAATCGGCAATCAAGAGCACGTTTTAAGCCTCTCGCATGTGAATCTTAAGCAAATTTCTGATCCAATTAATTGATGAATACAGCTGATAAAGGGTACACTAATAGAATACTTAACGTATAAAGAAATGCATCCTCAGGAAATAAAACACGATTAGCCAACTCGAGCATTGCAAAAGCACTCCATCCACGCATTTGCTCACGTCTCCGTTTTATTCAATTTAGTCACATTAACCCCGGGCCAACTCCGCCAATGGCCTAGCCCACGTTAGCACATTCCATCGCGGGTTTTACAAACGTGTATAATCCGTCGGCAATCCATTCGGGTTCGCGTGCGATTCGCGGCCTTTGAAAGTTTGCAGGCCCGCACGTTGCGTGCTTTTTTCCCCGGAGACTCGCCGTTTCGCTTGTGAACGCGTTGGCGTTAATGCCGTCCTCTCGGCGCATGCGACAACTTCATGCCGCGTCAGTGCAGACTTATTTACCAGCACACGCGGCGAGTCTTTGTTGAAATATTTATCGATATTTATTTGTCATTCATATCGATTTCTTTCTGGCTGCCTCGGCCAGGTGGTGGTTCAGCCGCAGGGCGAGTGGCTCCCAACGGGGAGGTTGCGAGTTCAGATCCTGGTCGTGGAGGGTGTTGGCTCGGCCCATCATCCCTGCTGGGTTGGTAAAATAAACACCACTTTGGGGGCAAGTCAACAGTGGTTCTCCTATGGATAGACTCACCCCCCCCCCCCACCAGAGGAATGTCGTATGCCCACCAACGTGGGCTCTAGCCAGACGTTAACGCAGAAAGGAGAAGAGCTACAGAGCATCTAGAGATGCGACTGCATTCAAACGCTATGAAGTAAATTTAAACGGTTGTTTGTTTTCTGTCAAGGCTCAAGAGACACCGCAGGGGTTTTCAGGAGCGGAGCGGCGGCACAGAGGTTGTGCGCTTTGCGCGATCATTGCCGAGACCGCAAACTCACTACGCGGCACCCGACAGCCGGCCGGAGGAGTCTTAAGCGGCGCCCGCTTAACGTCTCAGACCTTTGAGACAAACGGGCCACCTCCGGGTAAACTTTTGGCATCAAATCACCACTACCAGATTCCAACTCATCCCACCCCTCCTCCTCCCCCGCACCACCGAACACCCTCCACCTCATCATACCCACGCAGGAAGAAAAAAGAGACCGGCAGAGCACTTTACCTGACTCCAGGCTGCGGTTTTCTCTCTCCCCAAGCAAGCCCCTCACTGAGACACACAAGGAAAGCGCAATGAGTTAATGCAGGCAAAGGCTTCCGCTTAGCATTATAATGCCCATGACACGCACGAGCTGTTCGGGCTAAGTGCTTGTCAGCGAGCGCCAACGAAAGTGGGCACGGCGCACGAGGAGGTGGTGTGACCACGGCACCCTGCCCAGCTGCCTCGGTCTCACCAATGCTGATGTTTCATGGCTTTATTTGTGGCTCTATGGGCCTGTGCGTCAAACTAAGGTATCGTTGTAACCATGTAAGACTTAGGATCGCTGTGCGAGTTACTATGATAGTCCAAACGGTTGTACAAAGCCAGATATTTACACATATACTAGGAATACAACGATAACAATTTCAACTTGTACGGTTCCGTCGAACCGCAGGATGGGTGGAGGAGAGATGTGCGACAGCACAGGCAGCCAGGGTGTTGTGGTCGACTTGAGGGTTCCAGTGATACACCGCATTTCAGCGTTCAGTTGGACATCAACAGGTCGAGTGGTGACTACTTCTGGTCCATGCAGGTGCACAGTGCTCGGCTACAAAGTACACAAAGGGCCATCGTTGATGTCAACAACACCGAAGGTGCTGATGATACCCAGCTTGTGCTCGCCAATTTCTGGTCCAGGTTGATCCCTTGTTTTGGCCTTGGCGGCTTTACCTTCTTCAGGCGGTCATGGAAGGTTAGCATACGGTCCAGCTTCACTCCGAGATACAATTTAGAGATATAAAGAAAGTAGATACTAAAAAAGTATATTGTGGGGTTAAGGAGGCAGCTACTGGAGATGCAAAGCTAGGAGGATCAATGGGGATGACACTGGGCGGTGTGACACAGCAACTGACACGCCACTGGGCCGCACCTCACACCGTGTAGGGGCTCATTATGAGAGGTCCAACCGTCGACCTGCATGGCCAGAGACTGAAAGGACACAGAGCCTCACTGTAACTGCGGTCAAGTGTGACCCATCACTCCCACCGCATTCCATTGTACACAATGGGTCATGCGGGTGTGTGCGAGCGCTTGGGGGTCTGCGGGTGTCTGCGGGAGGCAAGGTACTGTTCCTGTAAAGGTCACCCCACCCCCCCCCCCCCCCCCGTTGATTCTTACACCGGTGTTGAGCGTTTGGTTAACCAAACTCTGTTTTCTTCTCTCATTCACACCATGTTCAACCACCACACAGCAGGTCATGGCAATACACCCACGAACTCACCAAACCACCCACTCAGTCACCCACTGAGTAACCCACACACTGCAAGTCACAACTCTTTATTTTCTGCATCTTCCCTCGCACTGCTCAACTTTGGAGTTCCCTACCATCGTCCGTCTCTTTTCCCCCACTCGTACGAGAATAACCTAGCATCCATATGTAACAGAGAGAGTCCTTTGCCGAGACAGGTCTGGACAACATTAGTTTAAGCTTGCCTGACTCTACTGATAACAAAATGGAAGTCGAAACGGTTCCAGAGATTTCCTTTTGTTGAACCAATGCCGGAGATAATACGCACACCAAAAAATGCCATGTGGCTGATGGGATGTTGTAAAACATATTTGAAATGTTGTTACATTGATTGGCAAATGTGAGAATGAGGTTTATCGTCTGATTATTTATTTTGTCGATGATAGTTGTAATTACTGGTGAAATGTCGTACGCGAATTGTAAATGTTGTGGGTTTACTCTCCAACACACACCGGTGTGCTGTACTAGTAACGAATCGGAATGTTTTGTTGACATGACAAACCTTACTAATTGGCTGTGTCGGGTGGTGGTGGATTTAACGACACATTTATATTAACAAGATTTAACCCAAAAAACCTCGATTATGGATGCCTTAATACTAATGTACGCATTGTCTCTGGTGTAGGCCAATCAGTTTCAAAGACAATGCATATACGATCAGAGTATGTTTGTTTGCATGTTTTGCCACAAGCACAGTATGTGTGGGAAATGCAGAGTTGATCTACTTGCTGTTTGAACATCTTAACGCCTGTTTCATTGCCAGAAAGGGTAAAGCCTATTCTTATTTTTCATCATTTGGACACTGGCAAAAGGTCCCATAAACAGAAAGGCTAGGTGTTAAAACTAAATTATTTACACTTCATTCCGTGTTCGAAGAGAGGCAGGCGACAGCAGTTTGCAAAGCCGAGTTTGACAATGAAAGAGCAGCGTTGCACTGTGCCAAAAGGGGGAGGGCTTTAAACCTTGTACATTACCATGGGGGGGGGGGGCAGGAATCAAACTCAGGTGGCTGGGTTCATAGGGCACTCCCTGTACAACGACGTATAAAGTGCTGTGACGAACAGAATTAGCCAAATATCCCAATGTAGGCAGGAGCCTCACTCGACAACAAGTGTTTTGACTCAATGTTCCTTTAAAGGATAACTAGTGTTGTAGTAATTATTATCACAATAGAAGTGACAATGAAAAAAGTCAGTGACATTTAACTAAAATTAATATGGAGAGACCGCTTATACCGTTAAATCTTTGAGCCAGTGGTGGAAATTCCACATTCCTCTGGCCGGAACTTTGAGATATTATAAGCACAATGTTACCTGACACACACGTGAAACCACTTTGCAAAACAGCTGTTGAATGAGGGCCTCCTCGCGCAACGTGGAACGTTTTCAGCACCATATTTCAGAGGCGCTGTCACGGGGTCACTATGGCGATGCTCGAGAGTGCAAATGCGCTGGCTGGCGACCTTCGGTCTAAGTTTCAAAGGCTGCGCGAAATAGAACAGTGTTTAATCTTGATTTGTTGACAACAGTTGTTATTTTTAAATGTTTATTTCGAAACGTTACGTTGAGACGGGATGGATTAAAAAACGTAATCGGGGCAGCGAGTGTTTTCCGAACGGGGCTCTCTCTTTAAATACTCGTGTGATAATGACCCCAATTCCATCTTTTGACGTTGACTGTCATTTCATTTTACCACGGGCGGTTTTTTTTTCTAAGAACTTTGTCCGAGAAAAAAGTTTGTTCGTGGAAACCTTTTTTTATTTGCACGGCTCTTTGTTGCCTGCACGCTTACTGCTTTTGTGACTGCGGAAATCGAGGCCACTCTTAATTTATGACATTATCTCCATCCCTTCACCTTCGAGACTTCTCACCTGGTTAAACAATCTAAACGTGGAACGAGTTGAACGTTGCCTTCTGAGCTCTGAGGAGGTTGAGAGCGTCTGGGGTGATTCCATGGTAAGCCCAGCGTTTTAACAATGATCAAATCCCCCCTACCCCCCCATGCGCATAATCCTGGCAGATCTGAGACGCTGATAGGGTTGTGGGTGCACTGTACGTGGTTAATGCACAACTATCGTTATCACCACGGACCTATAATCGCTTTGAACCAAAATCCGCCCACCACCTCACCCCAATGTCATCGCACGCATGGATGGTCGAGCCAACACTACACCTCTTGCCGCCACTAAAATCGATCGTCATCGTCGGTAATTCTCAATCCACTGCCGGATGAAAGCCCTCCACACAAAGGCGAAGCCAACATCTCACGATCCTGCGATACAATAATCCATCCAGCACAAGCACGTGCATTTTGCTTAATTGCTCCATCTCCCTGCCGTGGCGGTTCTGTCTTGCACGTTCCGTTCCCTTGGCTGCCGACTGTGCTTGTTATTCTTGACCCCATCGGCCATCATCGTCCTTTCTGGCCATGACGCGTCATGCGCAAGCCCCACTCATTCACAGCCACCTCTGAGACACTTAAGCGGTGTGTGCTTTCGCTAAGTTGTCCCCAACTGAAGAAGGACGCTTGTGTTGCGCCCTAAACGTCGTGATTTAATTCATTTTAATTTGTTACCTACGTGACTTTCCCGAAAAAATACAAAGAGCATGAATCCTTGCAGTCACGAAAACTTCAAATCTAGAATTAAGCCCCACTCACTTTCCCTCCACAGGACTAACAGCTGTCGTGGTATATGGATGATAAGATGATGATGGTGATGATGACGACGTAGTGATGGCAAGAACAATACTAATGATGATAATGTACATTTACACTAATTTGCATAATGATAATGTAGGCAGTGATGAGGGTGCCACGGTGGCGAGATGTTAACTACCTTGCCTGGTATACAGGAGGCCGTGGGTTCGATACTGACCCCTGTATATTTGGGGTTTGCATGTTGTCCCCGTGGTCACGTGAGTTTTTCTCTCCACATTTAGAATCAAGATGCGTTTAGAGTATTTGGCTGCTATAAATTTCCACGTGAAAGCCACTTCGTTTGAGCTCTCATTTGTGATGGCCAGGTCGCTTCTGAAAGAAGAGCCACATAGCTCAGTGGGGCCTTACCCGGTAAAATAAATAAAACATCGGTTGTTTTGTTTGTTTGTAACAGCTGTAAGTGTCAACCTCACACTGCTCCGCTTGGGAATTCCCTCTCCCATAATCTACTTTCCCAAACTCTCCCAATCACCTTGCTTTAATTCAACCCAAGTGTGAGCTCTTTAACATCAATTGACACTACCTCCACGGCGCTATTTGTCACGGCGCATTTGCCTTTTGTTTTCCCTGCCGTGGGTACCTGCGCTCAGCAACGGGCTTTAAAGACAACCAAACATCCACCGCTGGATTTATAGTAACGTGTTTAAGCAAACAGTCCACCACCAGGTGCATTAAAGAATTAAGTTGCGTGCCTTGGCCACTAATGTTTGCCGAGCTGCGTGATAGCTCGCAGTCAGTGGCACACAAGTGACACCTCTCTCCCACAGTCCCACTTGGCCCGGCAGTACTTGTGGTCTGACAACTGAAGAAACTGAACTGTGGCTGATTTGAAGGGCAATGTAGACAAATTAGTATCGAGGCTTCAGCCCCCCCCATTCCCTATGCATACGTGCATTGTCAGTAGAACCCCCATAGGCAAGCTACGCATTTGGGTTAACCCCCCTCTACCAACTCCATACGTACGGACTCAATGTATGGCCCCCGACTTGAGCAGTGGAGTAACAACGAGCATCACTCGTGGTGATAGTGCAGTAGCAACTGTGTATGTAGTAACGTTGAGCAGGAGTGATTGTGCACAAGTAACTGAGTGTGCAGTAGTAACAAGAGCAGCAGTAGTAGTAGTTAGTGCTGATTGTAGTCGTGTCAGGGCGTAGTAATATGGAGCGCAGCAGCAGGAGTGATTGTGCACAAGTAACTGAGCGTGCAGGAGTGACAGTGAGTAGTAGTAGTACTGTGGTTTCAGCAGCAGCATCACCAGTCGGGTACCACAGCCACCACCACCACAGCCACCACCACAACATCATCAGTCGGGCACCACCACCACAGCCACCACCACCACAGCCACCACAGCCACCACCACCACCACAGCCGCCACCACCACCACAGCCGCCACCACCACCACAGCCGCCACCACCACAGCCGCCACCACAACCACAACATCATCAGTCGGGCACCACAGCCACCACCACCACAGCCACCACCACATCCACCACCACCAGCCACCACCACCAAAGCCACCACCAAAGCCACAACCACCACAGCCACCACCACCACAGCCACCACCACAGCTGCCACCACCACAGCCGCCACCACAACCACAGCATCATCAGTCGGGCACCACAGCCACCACCAAAGCCACCACCACCAAAGTCACCACCACCACCAAAGTCACCACCACCACCAAAGTCACCACCACCACAGCCACCACCACAGCCACCACCACCACAGCCACCACCACCACAGCCACCACCACCACCACAGCCACCACCACCAAAGCCACCACCACAGCCACCACCACCACCAAAGCCACCAGAGCTGCCAAGGAACGCGCGCCGTGGGAGCGAGGGGACGACGGCCTCACCGATCTCGCTCTCGACGTGGATCCGCGCCTGGCGGCCCAGCACCACGAACCTCTTCACGTCCACGTACTTGGAGAAGACGAAGACGGACGAGACGACGACCACGCAGAGGCCGACGAGCAGGAAGAGGCGCTCGCGTGGTCGCATGGCGAGATTCTCTCTCTCTCTCCTCCTCCTGCCCCCAGCGAGCCACTCGAGGGCAGCAGCAGCAGCAGCTCTCTCTCTCTCAACCCACCACCAACAGTGTCAACTACCGCAATCTCTTATCGACAGCCTCGACACTTCGACCCTCAACCTACCCCCCCTCCTCCCCTCCAGTTAAAGTCTCGCCTCGAAACTCGATTAGCGAAGCCAAGCCCGTTCGGCCTCCTAAACGACGACGAAGTTCACGTCCACCGTCGTTGACCTCTGGAGTTTGTATTGTTATGCCTCTCGCGGATTTAAGCCGCAACTTATCGCCTCACCTCAGCGCCGGGTGAACAGCGCAAACTTCCAACCTTCGGTGAATGGCCGCGTATCGCTCACGGTCCCCCCTCACCTCCCCTCACCTCACTAACTCCTCCTGCTACTGCTACTGCCCCTGGCTTCTGATGCCGTGGTCAGGCAGAGAGCTTGGCCTCTGCTGCTCCTGATCCTACTGCTGCTGCTGCTGCCCCTGGCTTCTGATGCCGTGGTCAGGCAGAGAGCTTGGCCTCTGCTGCTCCTCCTCCTCCTCCGCTCGCTGCAGCCGACCACCTTCACGTTTAAGGTTGTCGCGCCGTTTCTCAACACTGAGCCCAGCAGCAGCAGCAGCACCCGCACGCTGCCGGTACCCCTACAGCTGCCGTGGGGATGTTGGTGGTGGTGGTGCCGACGACGGAAATGGTGGAGGAGGTTGCCCATGGCGTCCCCCCTCCCCCAGCGGGGGTGGGTGGGGCTAATCCCCGCTACGTCACCGAGAGAGTCCACGCCCACACCGGCGCTTCTCATCCCGAGCGAGGGCGCGGTCAGTTCCTTAACGTCGGCCACGCCCACCCACAGGCACTTCTCCGAACCCCAGCAAGGGCGGGGCCAGCTCCGTCACGTCACCGCAGAGACCACGCCCACTCCGGCCCTTCTCACCCCCAGCGGGAGGGTGAAGGGGGTGGTGCCAGCCCTGCACACGTCACCGCGTAGACCGCGCCCACGCATGCCGTTCGCCCCGCCCACTACTACAATTGTTAGATTTCTAGTTTAACACGTAGTAATAGTAAGTAGTCGGCTTTCGCGGCCAATATTATCCATAATAGAGGTGTGGTGGTGGTGGGGGGGGGGTTATATCGTGTAAATATACATGTATCATATTCTTGGTTCTTTCGGTAAAGTCACGTAGAAGGGAAACAATAAAATAATAAAAATATAAAACAATACAATTATCACGACTGTCCGCATGAGCATGGGCAAGCGCGGCTAATCTCGTCTCACCCACACGAAGCAACGCACGAGGGCTTTTGCTCCATTGCCATTGGCTGCGAGCGCGTGCAACGTCCCCGTGCATTGAATTCGAGACGCACGGGGGGGTGGGGGGGGCGACCAATCCGCACGCGGAGTGGGACATTGGGAGATGACGTCACAGCAGCTCCCCCCACCCCCCTCGGCTGATCACGAGGAGCAGTTAAATAAAATAATAAAGTTAATCTTTTTTACCATCAGCCATGGTCTAGCCACAGGTGAATGTGAATGCCTCTCCGCATCATAATCTGGCATGGCCTATCCACTGCTGGATGAAGATCGCACTGTAGGTCACAGCAACACATTCACCCACCCACTCACCTACTCACACACTCACCACTCACTCACAGTCACCCACCAGCTCACACACCTTCTCACCCACTCACCTACTCACCCACTCACCTACTCATCCACCCACTCACACACTCACTTACTCACCCACCCACTCACCTACTCACCCACCCACTCACCTACTCACCCACTCACCTACTCACCCACCCACTCACCTACTCACCCACCCACTCACACACTCACCCACTCACACAGTCACTCACCCACTCGCCCACTCACTCACAGAGTCACCCACCAGCTCACACACTTACCTACCCACCCACTCACCTACTCACCCACCCACTCACCTACTCACTCACCCACTCACCTACTCATTCACCCACTCACGCAGTCACTCATCCACTCAGTCACCTACCCACTCACACAGTCTCCCCCCACCCCGCTCACACACTTAGCCACACACTCGCCCACCAACTCACACAGTCACCCCCACCCACTCACACACTCAGCCACACACTCGCCCACCAACTCACACAGTCACCCCCACCCACTCACACACTCGCCCACCCAGTCGCCACACTGCAGCTCGCTTCGCTTCTCTTTCTGCTCCCCTCCCGGCACTGCTCCACTCTGGAATCCGCTCCCTCCCATCATCGCCGCCTCTCTTCCCAAGCTCCCGCAATCAAATAGCCTCGGCTCAATTCAAGGAGAGGCGCGGTCACCCGTGTGAAACGTGCCTGTTTGTTGCTGGCCGTTCGTACATTCCCCCCCCCCCCTTCGCTCCTGTCGTTCGCAACTGACTTTTAAATAAAATATTTGGTAACAATGACAACATTTCCCACGCTGGTTGTGTCACGTGCCGCCCTCGGTGGCGCGTCGGGCAGTGCCCTGGCGGCGTCCGTCATGCCCACCACGCGCCCCTCGCGATTCGCACTGCCCCGGCTTCTCATCTTCGTGTCGCGCAGGGTGAGCGGGCGTCACCGATGAATCGCGGGTGTCTCCGGCGAGGCGTACAGGCGTCACGGTGATAGCCGCGGGTGTTACAGGCGAGGAGCGGTGGGGGGGAAGGTGCATAGGTGATGCACGGGTGTTACGGGGCTGAGCGTCAGAGGTGGGACTCACTGGTGTCACAAGGTGTCAGATGTGCACAGCGGCAGTTACAGGTGGATGGTTGTTGCTGGCCGCTGGGCACTCGAGGGCCTGTGAGCACGTGAAGACCACACCAGATGGGTCACCTATCTGCACCACACAAGGTTGCATCACTCTTGCGGCTACAATTCATCTATAGCAACGAATTATGCGACTGTCAATGTAATTCACTCGGAATTGAACGCGGAAATACATCGGAACCCACGACATCCTTGCCGCCTCGGTGTGACACGCATACCTGTTCGAGCCCATGGGCTATTTGCTCAACATTAGCACGGTTGGCTGCGTGCAGTGCCAAAGAAGTTCAACATACATGTGGAATGACAGTAGAGTCAACCTACGGTGTGAGTGGACTAGAGGCCACGGGAGGTAATGACAGGGGAGTCAGCCTGCAGTGCGAATGGACTAGTGGCCACGGGAAGTAATGACAGGGGAGTCGGCCAGCAGTGTGAATGGACTAGTGGCCACGGGAAGTAGTGACAGGGGAGTCAGCTTGCAGTCCAAATGGACTGGTGGCTGCGGGAATGATCGAGAATAGGAGCGGGGCCAGGTGACGGAAGAGGACGGTTGAGTCTGTGAGAAGGTTCGGGAATGGGAGCGTGGCCTCGGACCGTATATAAGGGAGATGCGCGGGAAACTCGGGGCTCTTGCAGTGGGGGGTCTCCGCCTGTCCGAGTGTGAACACGTGGCTCCTTAATCAAATAAACCATCTCGAGACGAGTGCGTCGAAGTCGTCCTTACACATGCGTACAACATGGGCGATCAATGGTGACCTGAGACGGAAGCAAGCCGGGTGTGGGTGCTCCTGAGGCGACCTGCTGAGCTGGTGCCGCAACGGGCCAATGTCCCCACATGCGCGAACAATCGAGGTCAGAATCAGAAGTTTGTCTCGCGAGTGAAGTCCCCCCCACCCCCCGAGCTGAGAAGCTATTTTTTTTTATCTCTCTCTATCCCCGCTCTGCGTCCTCGCCGGCGGCAATCGGAATTGGCACCGCACGCGACGTTCACCGCAACCGCAAAAGCCCCCGGGGTAATATTAGGGGAGGCCGATCAAAGAGTTGATCCCCAGGGCAGACGGGCGTCCGAAAACGGTCACGCGCTCTGAGATCGCACCACCGACATCCTGGGCTCGAATCCGTGCTTCAGCCCACACAACCCCAACCTTTGATTCAACTGGTTTCTCAGTGTGTCGTGAGTTGATGGTCTCAGCCCGGCCACCAGTGATTCACACAAAAGACGCATGGCCCTAGAAACCCACAGAGACCCACAACCCTGTAGTGATCTTGATTTGAAGCTTTCGTGACTGCAGGAATTCATACTCTTTGGTTCTTTCGGTAAGGTCACGTAGATAGGAAAATAAATAATAGATCCCAGTGATCTATTATTTATTTTCCTATCTACGTGACTCTACACACAGTGATCTATTATTTATTTTCCTATCTACGTGACTCTACACACAGTGATCTATTATTCATTTTCCTATCTACGTAACTTTACCGAAAGAACCAATGAGTATGAACCCTGTAGTGAGTTGGTGATCTCAGTCCCATTACCATCGTTAACTGACACGTCCCAATAGAATTACAACGGAGAGTCTGCGGGTCTCTTTGAGTCTGTTTGTTTATGTGCTCTCTCTACGGTGCTCTATGCGAGTCTATCTATCCCTGTGCACGTCTATGGGTGTTTCACGTGAATCCATTGGTCTCGATGTAATTGGTTCTCTAAGTAAGCCCAGGGATCCCTATGCGCGCCTCTGGGTCTGTACGCAATGTCCGCGGGCGTTTTCGAGTCTAGAAGCACGTATTCACATTCTACGATCGCCTCGCCTGCCGCCCAAGTGGCATCTACACCAAGTTCCACAGTCGTCTGGGGATGACTGACAAAGCCCGCCTTGAATGGACTCGGGCTCATTGTGCCAGAGTGACCTCGTGTTCGTGGCTGTGCGAGGTAACCTTTTACGAGCGAGCTCCCGTCATTATTGAGCACTACCAAGTGGTACTCGTGACTCTTTTTTTCCAGGAAGGGTATTGGCAGTTGAACACGTACGCTTCCGCGACCAATAGTATTCATAATAAAGGTTTTTGGATTAGATCGCGTTCAGTATAGATGTGTCGTAACCCTCCACACCACCCGACACAGCCAGTAAGGTTTGTCACGTAAACAAAACGCGCCAGTGAGTTACTGCTTCAGCCCACCGATGTGTTGGAGAGTAAATCCACGACATTTATAATTTGTGAACATTTATAATCCATGGATTTACTCTCCAAGACATCGGTGGGCTGAAGTTAGTAACTAATTGGCACGTTTGGTTTACGTGACAAACCTTACTGTGCCGGTGTTGGAGGGTTATGACACATTTATACTTACACGATATAACCCAAATACCTTTCTTGTGAGGGTATTGCCACGTTGTGGCAGTAGGGTGGGGGGGGGGAATAATTGCTACTGTGCGTATCCCAGTCGAGTAATCTGCGGTGTGATTTGTCACATCGGCATTATTTGTTTTAACCGTGACGCCCGCACGCAGTGGCCGACTCTTGCGAACGACTTTGTGGGATCATTAAGGACCAGGCAACTGGCGTGGACTCGATGGTCAATACATAACGCGGCATTGGCCAGGGCGGCTGATGGATTCGAACCGTGAACCTCTGCGGCGAGCGCGCTACACCGCTGGGCAAGCGTCGTTGCCCCATCGCCGAGAGCTGTGACTTCAAGAAATGACAAGGGACGTTATTGAGTTCCCGGTGAACGGGAAGGCGACTCTCTTCCTGTATTTGCAGAACTTCTCGGAAGGTTGCAGCGATGTGGCGGTGGGGTGGGAGAGAGATTTTTGACACCACGGTCAACCAGGGTGTTGGGGTCAACTTAAGAGTGTCGGGGTCAACTTGAGGGCTCCAGTGATATACCGCATTGCAGCGTTCAGTTGGACATCAACAGGTCGAGTGGTGACTACGTGTGGTCAATGCTAGTGCACAGTATTCTGCTACAGAGTACACAAAGGGTCATTGTTGATGTCCGTAGCACCGAGGGTGCTGATGCTCCACAGCTTGCGCTCGCCAGCTTCTGGACCAGGTTGACTCCTTGTTTTTGTCTCGGCGGCTTTACCTTTTTCAGGCGGGGACCCAATTGTCGCGCTACGAGGACAAAGCCACTCACGCCGTGAACCCCCGATGGCATTGTTAGGCGACGCGGGTTTAAAAGGAAAACGAATAATCACGCGTTGGCATATGGATTCCTATAAAAAAAATAAACGCGTGTCATTTTGTTTGAAGGCGCATATTGCCCGCTGTGATCAACGGATCAAAGCGCGCACAGAAAAGCACTCGAGAGTCACAATGGCCTCGGGAGACAGAAAGGTAAACAGCGAGTAGAGCACGTATCGGAAATTTGCGGCGTCGTGTGATGAGCAATGAACGGGGCTTGGGCAGGACGCGTCATGGCTAGAGGGGACATCGCCCCCTGTGCTGAACCGCATTGCAACATCAACAGCAGCAGCCACGAACAGGGGGCCGTAAGCAAAAATAACAAGAAGAGACACTTTTTTTCGAGTTAGATAACAACAAAAACTACCCCTCGATATTTCCAGTGGGGCGGTGCAACGTCACGAAGCAGTCCCTGAATAGCCGCATGCGAATCCAGAGCCCCAGGTTACCGACTCCAAGCCACGATCGATCCACTGCTGGATGAAAGCCTATGAAAGTCGCCGCAGTCTCTCGCGGCCTTGCGGTGCAACGGTCCAGTGTAGCCCTCCGCACACACGAGGGCCGATTTCATGCCGCTCCATCTCCGTGGGCACGTTGGACCTGCCCTGCGATTGCGTGCTCACGTCGCCACTGGCGGAAGGGGGCCCCCCCCCCTCCGCTTGGGATGGAGGTGCCGGAGGGTATTCGGGGCCCCTTTCAGCCACACTGGCAAGACGCCTTAGAAGAGGCGTGTGTACCCACCCACCAAAATGGTACGCGGCCTGCCAATCGACTGGCTGTGCTGAACCAAGCTGACACTGCTCGGTCGACAGAGGTTTGCGAGTCCAGTGTGGTCCCCGCCATTGCTCCGCTGTGGCAGCAGCATCGCCGGTGGCTTCATCTGTCACTTTTGATGTTCCGGTGCGCTCGCTGGTAGAGACTCGTGCAGGTGGCACGTGACTCGGAACCAATGCCGTAGGGAGGCGGAATATATAAACTACACGAAGTCGTCCGTAAAATAGTTTTTTTTTTTGGGGGGGGGGGGGGGGTTAGATCGTATAAATATATAATTGTGCCGCTAAACCCGCCAACACCCGGCACAGCCAATTATAAAGGTTTGTCACGTAAACGGAACGTGCCAATTCGTTACTCGTACGGCACACCGGTGCGTTGGAGAGAGAAGCCACAACATTTACAATCTGGAGTGCGACGTTTCGCCAGTAATTACAACTAGCACCATCAGGCGGACAGCCAGATTCGTGGTGAAATCCTCCCCCTGTCTCTCTCTCTCTTTACTCTCTCTTTACTCCTGCCATTCGTCGTGGCCGGCAGACCTCGGCGTTGGAATTATCTCGCTCCTGAACCAGATTGGTGCTGCTGCTGCTGCTGTCGCCGCCAAACGCGACATCAGAATGTCCGCCGTGCCCGGCAGAGTCCCACATACCTGACGAGCAAACGCTTCCGTCCCCTGTCACGCGCCGAAGCCACAACTCTCGTCAACAGAATTCCCTGGGCCCAAAAGGCAATCTCAGCTATGTGGGATGTGATTGGCATCGTCGGGGGGGGGGGGTGGTGTAGTGCGGGAGCGGTGTTAAAAAACGGCCAAGAGTAGGGGGCACCGGACGTGAGGCTCAAGCCACTCGTGCCCCCACAACAATGGGCAAGGGGCTAGGGGCCACACTCTAAACTACAACAGTTCCTGGGGCCCCAATCAAACGTAACTCGGCTGTGACCAAACGGGCATATCTCGACAATACATTTACACCGAGAGAAAACCGGGGGGGGGGGGGGTGGGGGGATTTCAAACCGAGCTTCCTCAATGACTCGGCAGTGGTCTGGGCAGAAGAACCACATTCCTCCACCCCCACTGAACTCACGTCGTCAACTGTTTATATAGTTGTGCAATGCCCCCTTGGGTCTGACTGCCGATGAGACACTGGATGGCGAAACCGGTCCAGAGTTTCGCTTGTGTTGGACCAATGGCTGAAGCAAGGACTGACTCCGCTGATGAGACACTGAATAGCGAAACCGGTCCAGAGTTTCACTTGTGTTGGACCAATGGCTGAAGAAAGGACTGACTCCGCTGATGAGACACTGGATGGCGAAACCGGTCCAAAGTTTTGACTTGCATTGAGGCCGTGCGGCCGATGGGATGTCTACGAGAGACGCGGCGTGTCCGTTCCGCGCTTCAGATGCTGTTCTTTGTCAAATGATGTCGCACTGATTGAGAATCTCCAGGACAACGACGATGACGGTGGCGATGAGTCAGTTGGCCCCGTGTCTACAGCAATGCTGCGGCGTCATGAGGAGTACCCCCTCCCCTCTCCCTCCCCCTCTCCCCTCCCCCCTCTCCCTCCCCCTCTCCCTCCCCCCCTCTCCCTCCCCCCTCTCCCTCCCCCCCCTCTCCCTCCCCCCCTCTCCCTCCCCCCTCTTCCCCCCCTCTCTCCCCCTCCTCTCTCCCCCTCCCCCCATAATCGCAGCTACATCAGCCAAGGAGCTGCTATGCAAATCGGGCGCGCGGGGGGAGGGAATTCCCGGGAGGGGTTCAGAACAACTTATAGAGTCAACAATGTAGGCAAATCGTATTCTGTTTAACACGTAGTAGTTAGGAGTTGCACGCTTCCGGGACCAATATCCTCCCTAATACAGGTCTGTCGGGTTAGATCGCGTCAATATATAAATGTTGCGTCGTTAAACACGACACAGCCAACTAGTAAGGGTCGTCACGTAAACAGAACGTGGCCAATTACAATCTGAGTACGACGTTTCGCCAGTAATTACAACTAGCTTCATCAGATTCAGACAGCCAGATTTGTGAAGTCTTACTGCACATGCATGATGAAGCGTGGTCACCACATCTACGCCGCTATATAAGGAACGAAACAAGTGGAGGACTTCTCCACAAATCTGACTGTCGCCTGATGAAGCTAGTTGCAATTATTGGCGAAACGTCGTTACTCGAATTGTAAATGTTGTCGCTTGGCTCTCCAACACACCGGTTGGTGCTGTACTAGTGACGAATTGGCCACGTTCTGTTTTACGTGACGACCCTTACGAGTTGGCTGTGTCGGGTGGTGGCGGTTATGGAAATATTATTCTCTCATCTCAATGCACCACCACCACCACTGCCGCCGCCGCCGTCGCCGACTCTCTGGTCCACATCAACTTCTGCAAACCGCACGAGGTTGTTCATACACAAGCCCTGCAGAGTTGTCCATCACGGCTGCTACCGGGGATGCGAGGTGCACGACTGTGGAGCACTCGGGCGGGGGGTTGCTACCCGTGAGCCCGAGGCTAAACTAAAACGATATAAACTTTTTTTTTAATTTGACCAGATAAGGCAGCTCTCTTTCAGAATCGACCTTGGGCTCACAACCGATGGCTCAACTTAGGGGCTTATCACCGCGTGGACATTTATGGCAGTCGCCAAATGCTCTAAACGCGTGACGTTTATTCTAAGTGTGGAGTGGGGGCGGGGGGAGGAGAACCGGAGTGACGCGGAGGAAAATCCACGCGACCATGGGGAGAGAGACACGCAAACTCTAAATATGCAACAGGCGTCAGGGTTGGGATGGAACCCACGACCTCCTGTGTACCAGGCGAACTAGTTAACATCTCCTGGCTACCGTGACGATGATGATGAGAGACACGCAAACTCTAAATATGCAACAGGCGTCAGGGTTGGGATGGAACCCACGACCTCCTGTATACCAGGCGAGCTAGCTAACATCTCCTGGCTACCGTGGGCAGCACGGTTCAAATCCAACTCTGAAACAATGTGGGGGGTAGAGGGGGGGGTAGAGTGGGAACATTTCTTGAATCAGTTTGATCCACGATTGAAGTCCACTAACTTTTGGACCCGGTAACTGATCCTTTAGACGGTTAACGGTTACCGGTTAGCGGTTACCGTTGAACCAGCCGCGCAGTTGACCCTCGGGGCTCCTGAGGCAGGGGCCGCGGTGTGGCGCGGTGCAAGACGGGCAGAAGAGAATCAAAACGGAGCCGTCCACTGTGGAGAAGAAGCGTGTTGTATTCTTCAAACGCAGCAGCAGCAGCAACAACCGAAAGAGTCCCACACGATGGACGGCGAGGGATCAGCGATACCGCGGTGGAGGAGGGGGGGGGCGGGAGACGCCACGTGGGCAGAAACGGAACTAAAGAAGGTCCCAGGCATCATGTTCGACGTTTCGAACATGATGCCTGCGGCAAAAAGGCGGAGCGAGCGACGCGAAACCCCCGGGGGGGGGGGGGGGGGGCACGGGTCGGCGGTGCGCGGCGCGAGACATCGCGCCCGGGTAGCAGTGGCGATGGGCGGGGTAGAGGTGGCTGCGGTGGGAGGGGGGGGGCGTTTAATTGTTTGTTTAATTGGTAGAGGGAAGGCAGAGGGGGGGGCAGACCCCCCCTCTCCCTCCCCCCCACCAGTTGGACCACGTGACTGCTCCTCCATACCGACCCAGGTGGGGCTGGGGGGAACACACGGAGGAAGGCATCGCTCAGGGCGAAGCCACGCACATTCCATGCAAATGCCAGCCCTGTGCGGCACCCATCCACGCGTAAAGGTTCCACCCCCCCCCCACCCCCGCCGTGTAGCCTGCACAGACTTCTGGGGGAAATTGCTGTGAGCAAGTGGCAACAGCACCGAGTGGCAATGTTTATACATCGCGCCAGGTATTCATTTGATGCCGAGTCGACCTAGGGGGGGGGAGGCTGTTACTGGTGTCAGCTGTGAGCGGGAATAGAACTCGGGTCGCCGGCTTGCGAGCGCAGCGCGCTTACAACTGCTCCACCGCTCCCCGACACAAACGAAGACGCACGCACACACACAGCAGCAGTAGCAGCCATGCGACACGTTCCCAGGATCCCACGGGCGCGGCGAGCGAATCACTGCGCGAACCCAGAGGCGCCGCGGCCAGCGAGTGCGACTGCACCGGGGTTCACGGATCTCGAGCGGTGGCCCGGGCGGCAGGCTGCTCAGAGAGGGGTGGGGGGTGGTCAATTTGACAGGGGGCAGAGGTCGTGGGGGGGGGTGGCGCGGGACATCTCTTGGTTGCGTCACGGCGGACTGTGCCACGATTGTCGCTCGTTTTCCTCTCTCCCGCGTGTCCCCCCCCTCCCACCCCGCCAGCACTCCCCCCCCTCCCTGCCCACACGGAGCGCTGCGCTGCCGGAAAGCGAGTGGAGGAGGTGCCGGTGGTTGGGCCCGTCGCCTTTTCCCACCGGAGGCCAAAACGCACGCGGGTTCTCAGTCGGCGCTCGGGACGGGCCACTGACAACACGGCGCGCGAGCGTCCCACGTGAGAGCCCCGGCACAACACCGGCACGACACCGGCACGGGACCTCGGGACACAGCCAACCCCTCCCAGCCGGGCACAGAGGCCAATTCCGGGACGGGTGGCCGCACGACGCGGTGAATTGCAGTTGCTGTTGTTGCCGTTCATGCGTTCCGTTGAATCCTCTCATAGAAAATTTTCCTTTGGTTAGAGCTGATAATAACGAGATAAGGGTCTGATTCAGATGAGGGTCTGATTCAAATGATATCGGTCTTCAGAAGATTGCAGACATCTTCAGAAGAGCACGTTTTTATTACGTCGATGATGACCGCCTTCGGCCGATCAGAACCATCTTCAGGCGCCCCCTGCACGCCACGCGTGGTCGTGCAGAGCCGGAGATGCTGAAGATTGTCGGGCAGCCGTGGGCGACGCCGCCGCCAGGGCCTGGCGGGGCCACGGCCAGGCGGGATGAGGAGGGCGGTGGGTGGGGGGGGGTCACCAGGAGCTCCAGCCGGCGTCGTCGCCGCGGCCGAAGACGAGGAAGAAGGCGAGGATGGTGGAGAAGACAGCGGCGTCCGCCGCGAGGACGAGGGCGCACGCGCCCCACGCAATCTGCGGAGGGGGTCACGGGGTCGGAATTAGCAGACCGTGCGGGGGCGGGGTTGGGGGGGGGGTTGGGGAATGTTTTTTTTTTTATTACAGCCGGACAGGTACGGATTTGTAAAATGCGAAAAGGTCGGGGAGATTTGTGAACATCGTTTAGCGAGCCGCTCGGCCGCTCGCCGGCTCGCGTGACCCACGTGACAACGCGTGACAACGCGTGACCCACGTGACAACGCGTGACCCACGTGACCCACGTGACAACGCGTGACAACGCGTGACCCACGTGACCCACGTGACAACGCGTGACCCACGTGACCCACGTGACAACGCGTGACCCACGTGACCCACGTGACAACGCGTGACCCACGTGATCCACGTGACCCACGTGACAACGCGTGACCCACGTGACCCACGTGACAACGCGTGACCCACGTGATCCACGTGACCCACGTGACAACGCGTGACCCACGTGACACACGACGCATGCGGCGAGGCATGCGTCGCCTCTCCTGGGAAAATAAGAAGAGACGCCGCTGCTGCTCCTGCCACTGCCTACTGCTGCCACTGTTGCTACTTCTGATACTGCTGCTACTTCTGATACTGCTGCTACTTCTGATACTGTTGCTACTTCTGATACTGCTGCTACTTCTGATACTGTTGCTGCTTCTGATACTGCTGCTACTTCTGATACTGTTGCTACTTATGATACTGCTGCTACTTCTGATACTGTTGCTACTTATGATACCGTTGCTACTTATGATACTGCTGCTACTTCTGATACTGCTGCTACTGCTGCCACTGTTGCTACTTCTGATGCTGCTGCTACTTCTGATACTGCTGCTACTTTTGCTGCCGCTGCTACTTCTGATACTGCTGCTACTGCTGCCACTGCTGCTACTTCTGATACTGTTGCTACTTCTGATAATGCTGCTACTTATGATACTGCTGCTACTTCTGATACTGTTGCTACTTATGATTCTGCTGCTACTGCTGCCACTGCTGCTAATTCTGATACTGTTGCTACTTCTGATAATGCTGCTACTTCTGACTCTGCTGCTACTTCTGACTCTGCTGCTACTTCTGACTGTGCTGCTACTTCTGATACTGCTGCTACTTCTGCTACTTTTGCTGCCGCTGCTACTTTCCTACTGCTGGCACCGCTGCTACTTCCGATACTGCCGATTCCGCTGCCACCTCTGACGCCACTGCCGCTGCTACTCCCGCCGCCGCTGCCTCTGATGCAGGCGTGTGGCGTGCGGCCAGTCACCGTGCCGACGTGCGCCAGCACAACGGGGAGGCCGAACGCCGACACCACGACCCCCGTGGTGAAGAAGAGCCCCAGCTCGGCGCCGAAGCCGCCGCCGCCGCCCGTGTCGGCGTCGCCGGACACGCGGCGAGCGGCGCAGCACGGCACGGGCGCCAGCGCGTAGAAGAGCAGCACGAACAGCGGCCAGTAGGAGCTGGGGAGGGGGGCAGAGGGGGGGAGGCAGAGGGGAAGGTGGGGAGGGAGGGGGCGGTCAGAGCCCGCGTCGTCTGGAATTGCGGCGTGCGGGTGGCGTCTGCGGCGGCGGAAATTCCACATTCGTGCGACGGGGTCCAGAGTTGGGGGAGCGCGCGGCCGCTGTGCGAAGGGTGTCGTGGGGGTCTGGGCACCCGCAGTGTGTTTGTGCGAGGCTCGGGGGAAAAAAAGTCAAGCTGGACTCTTTGGGTTTGGTCGGCGACTTTGATTTTATATTCTTGAACCGAAGAAATATGACGATGGTGATGAAGGCAAATGATGGCAGATGATGATGTCATATCACTGATGATAAGGCAGCTAATACTATCGCGATATTATCGATGATGGCTGTAATGGTGCTGACGACGACGATGATGATGGTGTTATGACACCACCGTAAATATCGCACACACCACGTGGGTTCCTCAATCTCCGCCCCCCACCCCCATTACTCTTGAGCTCCCCAAAGCGCCTGCAACCTCCGCCCACCAGATAAGACTGCGGGACGCCGAACCCCGGTCCAGAGTTTTCCTTGCGTCGAACCAAACGCTGCTGAACGTTCTCACTTGCAGCAGCTGCGCCACCCGGTGGTGACGACTGGAACTTCTCTCACTGCGCCACCCGGTGGTGACGGCTGGAACTTCTCTCACTGCGCCACCCGGCGGAACATCTCTGCCGCCGTCACAGCAACCGCCAAGTTAAATCTCTTTTGAGCTTCACCTGAAGCCCGCAACGTCCTTCGGACGTGACCGTCCCTCCGTCCCCACGTCTTTCCAGCCAGCCAGCAAAACTTGGTGCGGACCAATCAGTTTCAAGAACAATATATATTAGGAGAGCATGTTTTTTTTTGTGTGTGTGCATGTTCACCACAAGTACGTGTGGTTAATGCAGACAGGATTCCTTGAGCAAGGCTTCCGTTTGGTGTTTGAACATCTTAACACAACTGTTTTATTGCCAGAAAGGGCAAAAGCTATTGTTATATTTTGATACTGGCAATAAAGGTCCCATAATAATAAAAAAAGATGATGGCGTATTTGCGCGGGACACAAGGCTGGGGTGGAGGATGGGTGGGTGGTGGGTTGTGACATCACAAAAAACGCCGCGGGATGCGGGTGACGTGCTCACGCTGGCGTGACATCGTCCGGACTTCGGCGTGGCTCGGGCCCGGAAGCATCTCGGCTCGAAGGGACCCGCGGCCGAGATACAAGGCGACGGAATCGGCCGGTAGCATGGGAGGCGCCAGGGAGGACTCGAGACGTCGAGGGATTTTTTTTTATCCAGCGGTGGATAAGGTCATGGCTGCTGCTGCTGCTGCTGATGATGATGTGGGGAGGATGAGGAGGCGAGCGCACTCACTTGTACTGGGGAAGTCCGCAGGCCAGCATGAGGAACATGAGTCCGACGGCTCCTCCGAGGGATAACCCCAGCAACGCTGGAGGGGAGACACGGCCAGTGGCACGTGGACGTTCACAACGCGGCTCGTCAGCCCGTGGCGCGCCTCCGACCAGCCGCGGTCGGCTACGTGCGGCGCAAAAGAAGTTCAACGTGCACGCAAAAAAAACACAAGGATCGATCCGCCGTGTAGCCTCAACAGACTGTTGGGGCAACTGCTGTTTAGCGAGCAGCACCTATGAAGGCCGGCACGGCTCACGAGGGGGTGGGTGGCCAGCACCACGCCCGGCCGCCTTTGTCTCCCAGTGGTGATGTTTACACACTGCCCCAGGTACTCATTTGAGGCTGAGTCGACCTAGGGGAGGCCAAGGACCGACTCAAATAATCGCCACTGGTGTTGGCCGTGAGCGGGAATGGAACTCGGGTCGCCGGGATCGTGGTGCAGCGTAGCGCTATCCGCTACACCGCCGCTCCCCTACACACACGCGCACAGACAGTACAGCACATCCCGTGCACGAGCCCCGAGCGAACTGGGCCCCGCTAGGAGGCCGTGGTGCTCAGCACAGCCACGGGCGGACCCCCGCTACTCGATATGGATCCCACACGGCGGCAGCTGCAGCGGCGGCATTCGTTGCAACGCTACTGTGAAAAGTTGGTCATGAGACCCAGCGAGGCTGTCCTGGCTAAACAACAACGACAAAGACGACGAATGATTGACGTCGCGCTCGAGTCAGCATCGAGGCATTGCTGCTCCTCTCCTGTTTATGGCAACGCAGAGCCAGCGGTGGAAATTCCTCATTACTCTGACGGGGGGCGAGTAAAGTGGTAGGCATTTTATCGACACCCTCCTCCCCCCCCCCCCGAAGGATTGATGATGGGCCGAGTCAACCCCCCCCCCAACCCCCAACGAGAATTTAAGTCAGCGGCTCGTGTTTACCGTGAATTTATTTTTGATCATCGCGGTTTATTAATGGGAGGTGAAGGGCGTCGTGTCACGGGGAGCGGGTCAACAAAAAGCTCGCGTCACCGTCTGTCAATGGCCTCGGGAGATTGCGAGGTGTGGCCCTCGGTAATTATTAAAATTTTTATTAAACACAACAACGGCCCCAAGGCGACCGCTGTGGGGGGTAAAAGTCCGCGGGGCCTCTGGGCCAGGGACGCACCGCGGCCTCAAGGGGGTCACCGTGTCCGCCAGGGAGAGCCACGCGGAGTCCCCACGGACCGATTTCAGGAAGGGGTCCTCCTCCTGCTGCTGCTGCTGCTGCTGCTGCTCCATGTGGGTGCTTGGGATCAGCTCGCGCGCAGGAGTGCGGCATCGCCGGATTGTGAAGCATGGCTACAGCGCGCGGAGGAGGCCTTCATCCAGCAGTGGATAGACCGTGTCTCACGACGACGACGATGATGATGATTCTAAACCATTCGATAAGGCTCGGGTGTGCCCCGTAGACGCGAACAGCTGCGGCACACCGGGCAGACGTGACGTGAGCCACTGACCAGCTTGGTGAAGTATGGTCAAAGTCCCTCCACGCCCCCACCCCACCCCCCCGGAACCTTTTAACCGACGCAGCTAAATCACCCCCCCCCCCCCCCCCAGTCAGGCCCACCCAGAGGTTCCTGGAGGCCCAGTGGGGCCAGGTGCCACGTGGACCCCCACCCCTTATTCAATAGCGAGACAAACCAGGCCTGTACGGGAACCCCCTTCTGTGTGAGGCTCGGGGCAAATCGCCGCTTCCGCCGGCCCCCCCACCACCTCCCCTCCGGGCTGCCCTGGCTGAGTGAGCGGCCTCTGTGTCCCCGCGAGAAGCCTCCCCGAGGAGTCGCGAGACCCGTTTTTATTTTTGCGGTGGAATATTTTAAACCCAATTTGGATTTTTTTTATTTTTTTATTTCACTAAATATTCGTAAAGAGGGAGCTTTCACCGCGATGAGAGTTTCCCTTGGGTCGTGGAAATTTTTAGTTTTTCCGTTGAAGTCGCAGGAAAAAAAAAAACGAATTCCGCGCGGCGGACCCGGCGCGTGCCAGCGGAGATCTCCGCGTTCACCTGAATGAGAGTCCCAGTTCAGTCTAAAATTAGAACTCGCGCAGCAGAGCGGACGGAGAGGCGACAAAGACTGCCAAAGCCGAGAACCGATTCGCAGCCACAGCGGCTCGCGTCAGTGACGAGTGGCATCCAACGCAGTCCGTCACCGTAACCCCCCCCCCCACAAAGAGTGTGGTGAAGTATGGTCGACGCAACGCACGCGGCAGCTCCTGCGCTGGTGAACGGATCTCAAAGCCAGGGTTTGTGCCAAGTTACAAACGCGATTAGCAGGGAAAAAAAAACCAAGCAAATGTCCTGCTCATAGAGCATTCAGAAGCAGTGCTCATCTTCTTAAAGAGCATTCAGAAGCAGTGCTCATCTTCTTAAAGAGCATTCAGAAGCAGTGCTCATCTCCTTAAAGTCCACATTCCTATGACGGGTTCGAGTCGTTCCACAGGACAGCCACTGTTGGCGTCCCCCCAAAGTGGCATTCATTTTATCGACGCCGTATGGGTGATGATGATGATGATGGGCTGAGTCACGCCACAAATCAGGGATTGAACTTGGCAACATCGCGATACCGATGGCTCTACCGCTGAGACTCCCGGCCGGGCGTTCTGTGCAGGGTGCGGCATCGCTCATCGGTGGCCAGGTCGCGTATGGTGGGGTAAAGTGTGGGTAGCTCCCACCTCGACTTGACCAGCGTGGAAGTCGGCCACAATGACGGACTCGGCAAAAGGCAGAGATCCCGACTACGTATAGCCTGGGGTATTGCTCAAACGACTTCGCGTTACCTAAATGCATCTCGGTCATTCGCAGCCTTGCGGGGTGAATGTGACAAGAAAAATAAGTTGACAGCACGAGGTGGTGGTGGTGGTGGTGGCGGTGGCTACGCTGCACGAGGCCTGTGATCTATAGCTGTGGAGGCAGCCTCGAAGGTTGCTGGATCACCGTACAGATGTTGCGACACTCCCGTGTCATGGGGGTAATCGTGGAGGAGCCGTACCCTGGCTCTCCGAGAAAAAAGCAAAAAAATGTGGACTCCGCCTGTTCCATCTGCAAGGGATAGCGTGTTTCCCCCTCGCACGCGTGTGGTTTTTTTCTTCCGGGTGCTCCGGTTTCCTCCCCACGTGCAGACGTCCATGAATTGGCCCGTCAACGCGCTGATGTACAGAGAGGATCGCAGGCAGAGGGCGTGGCCAATTGTTGTTGCCGGCTCGTCACGTGGCAGCTGCTGCTGTATCTCCGCGCCTCTCAGTCGCCCCCTCTCACCGAGAGTGAAGCGGACAAATGCGTCTAGCCTTGCTACGCGCGCACACACACGTGTTGTACACACACACACACGTGTTGTACACACACACACAGACGTGTTGTACACACACACGTCTTGTACACACACACACGCGTGTTGTACACACACACGTGTTGTACACACACAGACGTGTTGTACACACACACGTGTTGTACACACACACAGAGACACGTGTTGTACACACACACACAGACGTGTTGTACACACACACGTCTTGTACACACACACAGTGTTGTACACACACACGTGTTGTACACACACACAGAGACACGTGTTGTACACACACACACAGACGTGTTGTACACACACACACAGACGTGTTGTACACACACGTGTTGTACACACACAGACGTGTTGTACACACACACGTCTTGTACACACACACAGTGTTGTACACACACACGTGTTGTACACACACACAGAGACACGTGTTGTACACACACACACAGACGTGTTGTACACACACACACACACGTGTTGTACACACACACGTGTTGTACACACACGCGTGCGCGTGTTATACACAGATACACGCGTGTTGTACACAGACACACGCGTGTTGTACACACACACACGCGCACACACATGTTGTACACACACGTGTTGTACACACACACGCGTGTTGTACACACACACGTGTCGTACACACACACACAGACGTGTTGTACACACACACGTGTTGTACACACACACGCGCGTGTTGTACAAACACACGCGCGCGTGTTGTACACACACACGCGCGTGTTGTACACACACACATGCGCGTGTTGTACACAGACACACGTGTCGCACACACACACACACATGTTGAACACAGACACACGTGTTGTACACACACACACGTGTTGCACACACACACGTGTGTTGTACACACACATACAGACACGTGTTGTACACACACACACAGACGTGTTGTACACACACACGTCTTGTACACACACACACACGCGTGTTGTACACACACACGTGTTGTACACACACAGACGTGTTATACACACACACGTGTTGTACACACACACACGCGTGCGCCTGTGTTATACACAGACACACGCGTGTTGTACACACACACACGCGCACACATATGTTGTACACACACACACACACACGTGTTGTACACACACGTGTTGTACACACACACGCGTGTTGTACACACACACAGAGGCACGTGTTGTACACACACACACAGACGTGTTGTACACACACACGTCTTGTACACACACACAGACGCGTGTTGTACACACACACGTGTTGTACACACACAGACGTGTTATATACACACACACACACACGTGTTGTACACACACACACGCGTGCGCGTGTTATACACAGACACGCGTGTTGTACACACACACACGCGCACACACATGTTGTACACACATGTGCTGTACACACACACACACACACGTGTTGTACACACACACGCGTGTTGTACACACACGTGTTGTACACACACACACACATATGTTGTACACACACGTGTTGTACACACACACACACACGTGTTGTACACACACGCGCACACACATGTTGTACACACACACACGTGTTGTACACACACACGCGTGTTGTACACACACGCGCACACACATGTTGTACACACACACGTGTTGTACACACACACGCGCGTGTGTGTGTGTACACACACACATGCGCGTGTTGTACACAGACACACGTGTCCTACACACACACACACATGTTGAACACAGA